TAGGCGAGCCATTGACCGTCTAACATGTAGGGGTCGAATGAGGAGCTCAGAATTACAAAACTCAGGTACTCTTTTTTTCCTTATGAAATTTCATTGGTTTTCTATTCATACATGGTTATACTGAAATCATAGTTGGTAGAAGAAGATAGAATAAATAACCTTTTCTGGGGAAGTTCTTCTCCACAAAGAATAAGCTATGTATGAACGATATGGGGCTCTTTTGCACTACGTAATCCTGGTGGGGATATGGCTGTGTATGTTGTGTAGATGCACTGCAGTCCGCAAAGTGCCTTGCTTAATCACGAGGTTTGTTAGTTTTCCTTTACTAAGTGATTATCTGGCTTAGTAGCTTTTAGAAACCTCTTTGTCTGGCTGAAAATGGATGTTATGTCATTGATGTAGTGGTTGGTTAGTCTTCAGACATAAGACGTTGATTTCTAATTTAGCTTGATTGTTTTTGCCTTGATGATGGATGTAAGATGTTTTACTGGTACCTTTTGATTTTGCTCCGTAAATAATTATAAGACATTGAAAACTGAACTCCAGAATTGCTTATCACTATTAGCGTTGGCCAGCCACCATGGGACCATCTCCTCATCATGCGAAGAAATGATTATGATTTCAACAAAGAAGTGCTTTCTTGGTTAGTTGATGACGTTTTCTCACCTTCCAACTAATATGGATATGTTGTTAGTTTCCTGCTTCTCTTTACCATGAAGTTTACCTGAATGCGTTCTTCATTTTGGTTGGTTAGAATTCTAATTTAAATGCAATACTTAGATATTAGAAAAGGAAAGAGTTTTAGCACCTACTTCCAAATTTAGGAGTTAGACAAATCTCGCATGTGTTGAATTTAGATACCAAATACATAACTGAAATATATAATCCAAACGATGTTTACATTTGTTATTGAATATCAAATTGGTTTTCTTTCTTTATGAAGTCATGAATCTTTTTTCATAAAATCCCACTTTCACGACAGACGATTGTATATTTGAATCAACAAGTGTTTTATTTAATAAAATTCCAAATAAATACTTCAAATATTTGAGATTTTGGTCAATATAATAGCTTGGACTATCCTTTTACGTCATTGTCAACTCTTAAAACCACAAATATTTTTCGTGAATCATATAAAATTAAAGATCCCAAATCAAGTAAATCATAAATATTGATAAAATAAATTATACGAAATATAATGAAATTGATCCGACCAACGGGTCGGGTAAAAGCTAGTTCAATACTTATACTCGTTATGCATTAAGCACGAATAAAATTGGTTAATATTGACGCGGGTATGAAGTGAAATTTAGCGATAAATTGTTATTCATTAATTAAAAAAAGAACGTTAGTATGTAACACTTTACTACACATGAAGAAAATAATGATAATTTAATAGGGTAAATACAATTTAATATCCAAACCTTTCATTTTTTTTTTTTCCAAGGATATCCAAACCTTTCATTTGAAACAATATAATAGCCAAACCTTTTCGAAAACAATCTAATATCCAAATTGTCAACTTTTCGTTCGTTTGACCGTTAGTTGACACTTCAAAAAAGCTTTGTTTAGGGGAAATTGTCACAATACAACTTTGTTTCTTGTTTTGGCATTGCAGATGACTGAATATTTAGATATTCTATACCGTCACGGTGGAGTCATGGACTTCTCTGATTTGGAACTACGATATGTTGGTGGTTTTTCAGAGAAGATATCGATGGATATTGATGAAGTGCCGTACTTCGAACTTTTTTGAAGTGTCAACTAACGGTCAAACACACAGAAAATTGACGATTTGGATATTAGATTGTTTTCGAAAAGGTTTGGCTATTATATTGTTTAAAATAAAAGGTTTGGATATTAAATTGTATTTACCCAATTTAATAAAATGAATAATTGACTATAATAAATAGTTAAAAGATTGAGTCTTAAAATTTGTTTGGGATAAAATATGATTTTATAAAGGTCTTAAAATGGATTCACGGTCAAAAGAAATACCATCTTCTCTTTTCTCTCTTCTCTCTCCTCCGTTTTCTCTTTTCTAGGGTTTCGATTGTTGAGTTCTGATGACGGCCGTCGCTGACGAGACCTCATCGGGCACCGCCAACGGCGGTCGTTTATGGGCGTCTCTGTTTGGTGTTGCTGAGGATAAAAAGTTGGGAGTATTTTGAGCCAAAAATCATCAATGGATCGCTGAGAATCCGCGCTCGGTGATTGACGAAGGCATTCGTCGCTCGGACAATAGTCTTGTGGGACAGTTTCTTTCGCCGACGCCGACGTTGGCGACTATTCGATTCTGGGCCAATTGGCTTTGGGGTCGCGAGGGAGAAGTGAAGGTTTCGTGGTTGGAGGACTGGTTAGTACTCTTTCAGTTTTCAACAGAGAAGACGCGTAGATGGGTGTTTGAAGGAGGGCCCTCACACTATAAGGAGAATATGCTCTGTCTGCGTCGATGGGCTCCCGGTATTCAAGCGCTGAAGATCGATAATTCTGTTATACCTGTTTGGATCAAGCTTTCTGGACTGCCTTCGAAGCTCTCGTCAAAGGAAGGATTGGGAAGAGTTGCTAGTTTGTTGGGTAAGCCACTATGTATGGGTCACCCTACTAAATTTGGTGCTAAGGTGGGTATGGCGAAGATTTGAGTTGAGATAATGCTAAGAAGAAACTTTTGGATAAGATTAGTATCACGCTTGATGGAATGGACGCAATATTTATTACAGTGGAATATTGTAAGATGCCAAAAATTTGCAGTTCTTGTTGCTTGTTTGGGCATGATTGCTCGGCTCCAATGAATGGCAATGTTAAGAGGATCTGGAGGAAAAAGGAGATTATTACAGTGGAGATGCAGACAACTACTTCAGAGGTGGGAGAGGGCAGTTCCTTGGGTGCTACGGTGGAGGTTGAGATCAAGGATGCAATATCATTTGAAACTCCACTGGTGATCAGCCTGGTTACCCGTCGATTCACTGCACCGGACTCCTTCTTCAATAACCTTTGCAAATGATATTGCTAGGTTTGGAGAAGGGTAAGGGAGTTTTTGGGTTGCATGAATTTATAAGTAGGGGAGGGAGTTTTTGGGTTGCATGAATTTTTAAGTACAGGCTTAAGGATCGCTCGTTTTGGGATCTGCCTCTTTCTACAGTTGGCTCATGGATCTGGTGCAAACTATTACAGTTGCGTGGATGGTTTCAGTATAGGATGACGGTGAATGCCCAAAACGAAGTGATGTGGGAAGGGAAGCTTATGATTAAGTTCAGAGTGCAGCAAGTTTGGAACACAGTTCGAGTAAGAAGACCAGTTGTCCCTTGGTGGCAATTGATTTGGAGTAAGCATGTAGTCCCAAGGTATCGAATTATTGCGTGGCTGGTGATATTGAATCGAATCACCACTCGTGATAAGCTCAAAGAATGGGGGAGAATCGTTGATGATGCTTGTCTCCTCTATTCTAATGCGAGTGAGACTTGTAGTCATTTGTTTTGTGGCTGTCAATATAGTAGGGAGTTGTTTTCTGCATTGTTTGACAGGGTTGGTATAAGGTGGCCGAGAGACTAGAATGGATTTCTTATTACAGCAAGTCAGATGGCAATTCGAGGAGGTGCTCAAGGAAGATGTTTTCTGTTCTTTGGAGCTGGTACGTGAGCCTAGTCTGGAAGGAGAGATGCAGAAGATATTTTGAAGCCACACACAGACCGTGGCAGCAGCTTTATGCACAATTCAAGAGAGATATTATATTACTTTCGCTTGGTAATGATTTGTTTAGAGTTGAAATGCGGGCAATACCTCATTGGAGGGAGTTTGTTTAAAACATGTAAGCATCTCTGTTGATGCTGGTTTGTGGACGCTTTGTCCTTGTATTTTGGACCTCCTTGGCCGATTTGGTCGAAGGGAGCTTTAATGAATGCCTAATTATAAAAAAAAAATTGTGTAGATACTGATGCAAACTATGATAGAACGGGTCGAGAATATTGCAGGAAAGGGCGGGTAGGTCGGAAGCAATACCCATGCTCGCCCCCATGGTATTACGGGTTGAGTAATACTCTTCCCAAACAGTTCGAGATAGATCGTGTTGCGCGGGTCGAGTCAGAAATTGCCATCACAAAATATTCAATTAATTAGATCCATTTAAATCCAATTCATTGCATTCAAATCCATTTTTTACGAAAAATTCACTTGTATAGTTGTATTAATAACTAACAAGAACCACAAAGTTGTAAAATACTCGTCTCAGCTGAGAGCCAAGCACGGAAATCAAACCAATCACAACCTATAAGAAACAAAGAAAGGTCATTCTCAACCACTAAATTGGTCACCCTATTTTTATGTCTGCCTACAACCATGATCTCCAAATCTCGCCATTGGTCAAGTATCCAACGAATCTCCTCAAAGATGACACCAACTAAGTAGTCCAAGTGATACCAGCATGCACTTTGTCAATGATAACCTTAGCATCTCCCTCGATCCTAGCCTAATGTATTTCCAAACTCACACACCAGGAAATCGCTGACCATAGAGCCAACAACCCCGCAATTGCCAGATCCACGACCCCTTGCTTCTAACAACATCCCCTTAGCCATCACCACACCTCACCTGAAACATCCTTCATCAAATCCAATTGGAATGGGGATTCATGGATTGGATTTAAGAATATTTGGCAAATTACATTGTAGCACTTTTGTTGTTTGTATTTTTTTTTTTTTTTGTATTTAGTATCTAAATTTAAACTTGTAGATGCAAAATATCATTGAGCAATTACATTTTGGCACCGTAAATTCTTTTATTGTGACGTTTTAGTGCCGTAATGTTTTAAAATGCACATATTGTTCCATGTTTAGATGTCAATTTAGATATAGAATCCAATTCACCAATCCATTTAATCCATAAATCCACTAATCCCTAAATCTAATCCATTGGCTACCTTTATCTACAAGTACAAATTACTATTAAGTGAAAAAAAATGGGATAATCACAAAATATATCCATACAATAGAAAATAATATTATCTCCTGGATCCTTCTATCAGGCAGTAAATATAAATTCCGTCTCAGTCTAGTTAAAACGGGATGCTACGACTAACACAATACAGTCCACTCCTACGGCCGCGCGCTCTCTGTCCGTTTATTTATATACTGGTGGCCGGTGGTTTGGAGCTGCCGACTCTTCAAAAGTTGGAGAGACGACAAGAGGAACCAAATTTTTTTTAACTCCGGAAGAGTACTACTCTCCAGACTATGAGCACTAGTCCGACTTTCCCCTGCAGTTACTGCCTACTACTGCTGCTACTAGTAGCAGCTCTATTAGCGTCGTCGTCAAAATCCGCCGCCGCCGCCGCCGCCGATCGACGCAGCCTGATTGCCAATGGCCTCGGCATGACTCCTCCCATGGGGTATGTACTTGCCGATCCCTCACTCTAATTACTTTTACTACTTTCACATCTCCAGATCTGCCAGCTACTCTCAACGGAACTTGTTCATTTCTCCGGCGCCGGCCATTTTCCGGTTCCAGATCTCCTTTCCTTTCCTTTCAATCATAACACACTATCAATTATTGTTTCCCTCTTGTCTCTTTCAATCAAACGATTCAAAAACCTTATCCCCTTCCGTTCCCCAGTGGTTTGTGCTCTTTCCTTTTCTTCCGTTTCCCTTTTCTCTGACTATTATTATGTTTTATTTTTATTTTTTTCCTTTTTGGGCTTTGGCCTGCCGGGCCTGCTGCCCGTCCGTCCCATCCGGAAGCTGCGTTTCTTAGGATAATATTATTAATAATTTGTTTTGTTTGTACGACGTAATAATAAATTAGTTATTTATATTAATTGATCTTGTCATTATTGTTATGCACGTAGATGGAACAGCTGGAACCATTTTCACTGTGATATCAACGAGAAAATGATCAAAGCCACTGGTAATTAATTACCACTGATAATAATAGTTTTAACTGTGCAATTATGCTGAAATTGGATTTTTTTTTTTTATAATTGATACTGGATGGATATTCCATATATATGCAGCGGATGGCTTGGTCTCGAGTGGGCTTGCTAAGCTTGGATACGTCTATGTCAACATTGGTATGCTAATTAATCTAATTAATAATCGTTGATTACTAATTTATTGCGTGAGCAATGATTACTAAATAGTAAATACTTATCTGGTGCCTTCTTCCCTTCTCTTTTGTTCCTGTCTATGTACACAGCTGGCTGCGTGTAATTAGTGTCGTTTAGTCAAACAATACCGGCGCCTTGCTTTGCTAGCTTCTTCTAAACTAATCGTTCAAAATCTTGTGCGTGGCATGCAGATGACTGCTGGGCTGAAAAGACACGAGATTGCAAGGTCACAAATTACTTACCATAGTAACTATTAATTACATTTTTCTACAACTAAACGTGCATAGCTAGGCTGCTATTATTTTGATGAATATGGTTGGAAAAAGAGAAGTAATTTAATTAGATTCTGCCTTTAATTACTTCAGGGCAATCTAAGGCCAAAGAAATCAACATTTCCATCCGGGATTAAAGCAGTAGCAGATTATGTCCATAGCAAGGGTCTTAAACTGGGAATTTACTCAGATGCTGGGTACGTATGTACATATTTTCTTCGATGTTTTTTTTTTTGTTATGGTATAAAATTGTTCCTTATGAACGTTTACATACCAAATTACGTATATAATTAATTCGTATCTACATATACGTACTATGTGTCGAATTATGCAGGTATTACACCTGTAGTAAAACTCAACCTGGTTCGTTGGGTTATGAGGAACAAGATGCTCAAACTTTCGCTTCCTGGGTATGTACCTGCAATGCGGAATATTCCTCAAATTAATGTACAAGAAGTGGTTTGATGATTTCCCATTTTGATTAATGGAAACTGAATGCTACATTTTATTTTAAAATCTCCTACAGGACATTGATTATTTGAAATACGATAATTGCTTCAACGATGGTTCCCGACCAACCATTAGGTGACATCTATATCTCTTCCTCCTCTTCATTATTCGTTTAATTACGCTCACAATGAAGGACTAACTAAATAATTAATCCATTTCTGTTGTTAATTAATTGTGGGAGAGTAGATACCCAGTGATGACCCGCGCTCTTATGAAGACTGGACGCCCCATCTACATCTCCCTCTGCGAATGGTAATTAATACTCAATCCTCCAACACTAATCACTTTAATTAATTACTGTAGTTCAATTTAATTTACCAACTCAATTCAATTCGCACGTGTCCGGGCAGGGGAGACTTGCATCCAGCTGAATGGGGGTTCAACGTCGGAAACAGCTGGAGAACAACCAACGACATCTCCGACACGTGGGAAAGGTACGCTTAGTTACGTAATTAATGCGTATACGTACCTAAGTAGGTATATTTGTACAATTGTACTGAATTATACGGATACTGTACGTATATATACGTAATACGATGCAGTATGATATCGAAGGCGGACGAGAACGAGGTGTACGCCCACCTGGCCCGGCCAGGTGGATGGAACGACCCGGACATGCTGGAAGTCGGCAACGGCGGGATGACGGAGAACGAGTACGTCGTCCACTTCAGCCTGTGGGCCATCTCCAAGTCACCACTCTTATTGGGCTTCGACGTCGCCAACGCCACCGCTACGCGGGCCGTGGCCCATATAGTGGGGAACGAGGAGGTGATCAGGATCAACCAGGATCCACTCGGGGTCCAGGCCAAGAAGACCAGGATGATGGGCAGCAGGGAGATATGGGCCGGCCCAATATCCGGGTATCGGTTCGTCGTGATGCTGCTCAATCGGGCCGATGCCGGCGACGACGACACGGTGACGGCGTACTGGGACGACGTCGGGATCCCGGCGAAGTCGTTGGTGGAAGTGAGGGACGTTTGGGAGCATAAGACGTTGGGGAGAGCCGTCGCCGGGAATATCTCGGCCACCATGCCACCTCGCTCTTGCAAGCTCTATATCTTGAAGCCCGTCGGTTGATGACGACCTCAAACGTCGTCGAACGATATCGTATTGTTGTGTGTGGTTGTTCACTCGTTACTATTGAATGTCGCGGGCTATGAGTCTTATGAGCGATTATGGAATTATTAGGTGGTAATAAATTATAGTCTGATTGCACGATTGAAATAAAATACTAGCAAATGTGTTCATGATTAATAAAGCGTTAAGCAAGGGATTATGACATAAATAATGCATCTATCTCCTTTTAAGTACAAGCATTAAGGGTGATATACATGCATGGCATAAAAATATTAATGGATTATCTGTCCCTGCATTCTTTTTCTATAAATTAAAGGTATGGGGAAATCATTTGATGGGAGTTAAAGAGCAATGAGAGGAAAAAGGTTCTATAGATGGAGTTGCCTTAAGGTGGAAGAGTGGAACAAATATTAGTTAATGGAGATGGTGACATAGTTTGGTATGAAGTCCTTTTTCCCTTTTGGATGGGTTGATCATCGATGAACAGAAAACAAGTCCCTGAACTAGACTAAGATGGCAAAATGAACCGTCTTACAATACTTTTTCAACAACTAAGCCTATAGAGATAGAGCTATAGACGGCAGTTTTTGCTATCAGACAATCTGGCTACGTACCTTGTTAACAGACAAGTTTGAAATCTTGTATTCTATAAAGACGTTGTGGTAAAGAGTGGAGTGGATAGTGTATATTTATTATTCTAATTAAAGTGATATGGGTTTAACTTGTATTCGTATTTCATTATCACACGAGAATTAGGTAGAGAATCAAAATCATACTCATACATGATCGGTTTTGGGTATTCATACGTACACTCACATTGTATACTTGTAAAAGTATAACAATAATTCAATATTCAAAAGAAAATTAGTTAAGGACAATACAATTTCATGAAAATATTACATATGTAGAAAAAATAATGACTGTGTACAAACAAAATACATGGATAGTGAAAAAATCAAGTCCACTCATTACTGGCAATATTCGAATACTTGTTTTACTCATACCCACTAACGATTCTTCAAATTCAAATTTTACCTAACCCGATTAGGTCTGACTCAGACAGATATCCATGACGGTGGATATTTTTCATCCCTATGCTGTGAGGAAAGAAGAAGACATTATGATATTATGGTGCACTTTGTTTCAATCATCATATTATGATTTTCCATTCCTCCACTATCTTCCTCCTCCCACCTTCATTTGCTTGAGATCCTCACATATTTACTTTGAGGTTTGAGCTCACTAACTGTAATAGATCCCTACCCCATCCAAGTTGAGCAGTAGCATGCATAATCTTCAATCATGTTTTAAAATCAAACCTCACTACTAGGCACATACGACAATTTATTGATTTTAGTAATTAGTACTAACGCATAACGAACCATTTTGAGGATTGCTAAAACAGTCGATAGAGATGACTCTCACTGACTCACACGATCATACATCATAGAGAGTAAATATATCTAAACATGTAATTTGATCGTACAATTTTTTTTTAACTACAATGATATTACTTTGTCGACCGAAAAATGCCAACGTCCAAACACATTTTGATACTCTTCACCTTACCAAGCAAATGATAATTGTTAACATACGATTCTTCTAGTATTACATAGTAGAGAAGAAAATTCACCCTTTTAATTTTGTATATATGACTACATTCTTTGTTAACAAAAATTAGCTTAGTGAAGTATATATCCATATTTTCAATTGAAATTCAAACATCGCCTTTGTTGAATTTTGATCTCCATTAGATAAACCATTCTATTATTTAAAAATAATAATTATTTGCATAATTTAACGGATAATGTGGTAATTACTAATATTATTGAATTTTCATTTTAAGTTCTCTTTGTTTTTATGTTACGGTAACCGGGCCGGAACAGCTTCAACATAGCCCGCCCGCCCGCCCGCCGCTCTCAATCCATTCCATTTCCAACCAGGCTCTCTCTCTCCTTCCCTCCCTCCTTCCTCAGTCCTCTCTCTCTCTCTTCCCACCGTCCCTTTTCAACAACTGCTGAATAGAAGAAGAAGAAGAAGAAGAGAATACTCTTTTACCAAACCAGCAATCCGAAACTCGATTGACTTCGCTTGCAACCGCCAGCCATCACCTCCTCCGCCGTCGCCGGAAGAAATCGAAACCCTCCAGATCGTGAGCCGAGCTGCTTCATTTCCATCGTTCCATCCCGTCTCTCCGATCCTCCCCCTTCTCCCTCTCTGTCTTCCTTTTCCATCTACTGAGATCAGCCTGTGACGAAAGCATTGCTCTCCCCTAGACTGAATTCCGACTTGACGATTTCAATTCCCCAATTCCAATTCGCCGCCGGGGTTGATCTGATTGATTCTCCGACCATTTCCCTCCCCCACTCTCTCTTTCCAGTCCGTTTCCATCTCACCCTTCTCCAAACCTAGCAATTCTTACCCTGGATTTCCTCCTCCCGTATTGCTGCCTGTTTCTCCTAATTTTTCTGGGGCCACGCTCACCACAGCTCGCTCGGAAATGCATATTGTGGCCAAGGGTAATGCCGCCGCTTCAGCCGTAAGCAACCCGACGTCTAACCAGCACCATCAACAGTCCCTCAGGAGGCTGGGGTTCTGCTCTCAGTTAGCTGCCGGCGGGGCCCAGCACTCTTCCCCCATCGTTTTCCCCGAAAAGCGCAGCAAAAGGGTCAAGTCATCTTCCTCCAAACGGATTGAGCTCACCAGCGATCAACCTTTTGAAAACCCTAGCCGGGATGAAGTTAGAATCGACATCGGTGGAGGAATACCCGCCGTAGGAGATGAGAAGTCTGATTTGTTGGGGGATGTTGTTATCTCCGGCAAGCTCGTTTGGGACAAGAGGAAGACCTCGGTGAGCCCTGATACACCCAATGGAAATCCTGCTAATCTAGCTCCTGCCGATGTTCCTAAACAGGAACCACTGGACGCTAAGCTTACCAGCAAGGCTTTAATCTGCGGCTCCACTATATTGCATCTTGACGATGTCATCTCGGTAAATTTTTCTCCTAAATTCCCATTTCATTCGTCCATGGACGTCATGAACAATCTGCTTCAGCCTACTTGATCATATGATAAACAATTATGTCTTCTGGGTTTTGTAGGTGACATATAATGCTGGTCTCAGGTATTTTACTGTCCATTCATATCCCATAAAGAAGGGCTCTTGTGGTCTGTCTTGTTTCATCAAACCCAAAAGAATTCGCAAAGACTATCGTTTCGTAGCCACAACCGTGAAAGATGCAGTACAGTGGGTTGGTGGATTTGCAGATCTGCAATGCTATGTGAATTGCTTGCCTCACCCTTTGGCCTCTTCCAAGAAGCAAGCTTCTTCGGAGTTACTTCCCATTGACACTCCTCCGGAGTTGCTATTTAAGTGTAAGAATCCACCTAAAATGCTGGTCATCCTGAATCCACGTTCTGGCTCTGGCCGTTCGACCAAAGTTTTCCATGGCATTGTGGAACCTATATTTAAGGTGTGTCTTCTACAACTCTTTCTTAACTAGAATATTCACCATTTCTTCATGTATTTGAATGTCTACGGCAACTCAAGGATCATGGAACATCATATGCGTTCATTATATGTGAGATACACTGCGCTTGAACTGTACAGAATAGTCAGCATCTAGGAATTCAGGGAGCTCTCCTGCCACTGATGTTCTGACGATAGTTTTTCTAGAGTTGGTGTATGCTGCATCAGCTTTGCTCATATGGCTGTTAATATTAGCTATCCAACATTTGGTTTTAATGAACTGGCTTGAGATCCATACCTTGCCTATGTTCTGAGTTGAAAAACTGAAAGAGACCACTCGGGAACATCTTCCCGGCGACAAAACACATTTAGCTCTTTGCACGCAGTAGGGAACGTTTTCTCCCCCTTTTCGTCTTTCCCCAAAGCATCTGATGGTTCTTTTCACTGTTGTTCATGTGAAGTTAGAAATGACTGAGCATTGTTTTCACGTCTATCTAATCAATAATTTAAAGTGTGAGCTGTTACAGCTTGCAGGGTTTCAGTTGGAGGTAGTCAAAACTACATCAGCTGGTCATGCTAAAAGTCTTGCATCTACCGTTGACATCAGCACTTGTCCTGATGGTATGTTTCTGGATGAACTTTGTGTTCTTGATTCTTCCCTTTTTGATGGTTCCAATGAGTATCATATATGATGATTTTTCACCATTGCCTGTTACATTTGAACTTTTCCACTTGCTCCAGGGATTATATGTGTCGGTGGTGATGGAATTATCAACGAGGTGAGGTTTCTACTCTCAGTTGGATTCCCTGGTCTTTTGCTTTAGCTCACATTTTGCACCTGGCCACATTTTAGTAATTAGTTTGCTAGGAAGAAATGTTGTTGTGGAAATATTTCCAACTAAGCCATCCATTCTTTACCTTTTTTTTTCCGGACACTGCATGTCAAACATTGTACAGTTATGCCCGCAGCTGTACTATCAGACTTTTTGTTGTTTTGGATAAATATACTGTCAGAGTTCTTTCTCACAGCTATACGGGATGGGATTTGAGCTGCATCTTTACTAGATGCAAAGTGATGATGATGCACATTGAATGAGTATAAGTTGAATGCATGCTGTGTCAGTGCATACATGTATCTCATGCCACCTGTATCATTGAGTTAGTATTAAGTAGTAGCAGGATATTGTGAATGCTTCTTTTCTCGATGATTAACAAGTTAATCAATGCAATTTGTCAGGTCCTGAATGGTTTGCTCTGTAGAGATAATCAGAAAGAAGGAATCTCCATTCCGATTGGTATTATACCTGCTGGTTCTGATAATTCGCTTGTCTGGACTGTTCTTGGAGTACGTGATCCTATTTCTGCTGCCATGGCTATCATCAAGGTAAGTTTATAGTAAAAGTGGTAGATATTCTGGAGTCTAGTTGTCAGCAAATATCAATGCTGTAATAAAGTTTCTTAGTTCATGGACCATCTGTGAGGTGAATAAAATTTGAATACCTCGAATGGCATTGAAGTTTTTTTTTTTCTGCTTAATTGTTAGTTAAGGAGCCTATAGTTATTGTCACTTCCATTTGATTTTTTACTTACTATGCATCTGTTTCTGTTCAGGGAGGTCTAACTGCCACGGATGTTTTTGCTGTGGAATGGCTTCAGACCGGTATTATGCACTTCGGGATGACTGTCTCATATTATGGTTTTGTTAGTGACGGTAAGTTGACCAAGTACCATCGTTCTTCTCGGACAAAGCTGTTTTATGAGTAATTTGTGCATCGGAGCACTCTGGTAGAATGTGGCCAATCGTGTCTTCCGTGAATATTGTGTCCGAGAATTACATGACCATGGAAAAGTCTTTTTATGTGTGAAGAAGCCCTTATATACAGAAGCTTGTCTGTAATCAAATCCTGAAAAGAACAAGTGCTTATCTTCAGCCAGAAAATGATTAGATTTTACTCATTGAGTTGAACTATGAGTCTTGCATTATGATGGTGCAATTGAGAATGTTCTTTATGCGTAAGTGCTGGTCTGGATTTGCCTCAGCATGTGTTTCCTTCTACTAGGAGGTTCTGCCATCTCAAATAGATGTGGTGTAGTAACACTCATGTGGGTTGATTGTGGTGTTCGGTGAAAATAGTGACTAAAGTTTTAAATTGTTTTTGGCTGATGACGTATCTTGGTTTGTTGCAGTGTTGGAACTCTCTGAGAAATATCAGAAACGCTTTGGTCCATTGCGCTATTTTGTTGCTGGGTTTTTGAAGTTTTTGTGTTTGCCAAAGTACAACTATGAAGTAGAATATCTTCCAGCATCCACAATAGAAGATCAAGGAAATCGCCTTGGTGATAGAGAAGTACTGGACATGGCCGATCTGTATACAGATGTTATGAGGAGGTCAAACACGGACGGTGGCATGCCTAGAGCCTCTAGTTTATCGAGCATTGACTCAATAATGACTCCAAGTCGGGTTTCTGGAGACTTAGATACCACCTGCAGCAGTACTCATGCTAGCACCGAACCATCGGAATACGTGCGTGGCCTGGATCCCAAAACTAAACGTCTGTCATCTGGGAGAAGTAATGTCACAACAGAACCAGAAGTGATTCATCCTCAAATGCCACTCTCTACAACGCCCAACTGGCCAAGGACTCGGTCAAAGTCAAGAACAGACAAAGGGTGGGCTGGAACAATCTCCACACAAGATAGCTCTAGGTGCTCTTGGGGGAATAATGCCACAAACGACAGAGAAGACATATCTTCGACGTTGTCTGATCCAGGTCCAATTTGGGATGCTGAGCCAAAGTGGGATGGGCAAGCAAATTGGGACGTGGAAAATCATATCGAGTTGCCGGGTCCTGCCGATGATGTAGAGGGTGGAATGAGGAAGGAAATGATCGTGCCTAGATTGGAAGAGAAGTGGGAGTTCAGGAAAGGACAGTTCCTTGGGATCCTAGTGTGCAATCATGCTTGCAGATCAGTGCAGAGTTCTCAGTTGGTAGCACCTAAGGCAGAGCCCGATGACAGTACCTTAGATTTGGTATTGGTTCATGGCAGTGGGCGGCTGAGGCTGTTGAGGTTTTTCTCGTTGTTGCAAATGGGTCGAGGCGGACATCTTTCACTGCCATACGTCGAATACATAAAGGTACGCGGTGTATCTTATGCTATTTGAGAATTGCCGAGCCAAGCAATTCTTTTATGCTGTCCTTTTAGAAAGAGTTGAGAGAAAAATTGTTTCGGTCTGGTGGGGAGTGTGTGTTTGCAATCATGCATGCATGAGACGGTGTTGAACTTACTAGTTACTACTAGGGCACTGGGATCTCGTCAGGTTTTCGAAGTTAAAGTGAGAATAGTTGTAAGAATTTGATTAGACTGACTAATGTTGGGGTGGTGGATGATGCTGACAGGTGAAGTCGGTGAAGATAAAGGCCGGGAAGCAGAAGAGTCACAGTGGATGCGGGATCGATGGAGAGCTTTTCGCATTGAACGGGCAAGTGATGTCGTCGTTGTTGCCGGAGCAGTGCCGGCTCATTGGTCGGCGGGGGACATATGAAAAGTCTTGATGAGGGTTTGTTTGGATGGTGTAACTGGCTGTCCTGTTGTTGTTGTGAAGGTTCCCGGTGGTGAAGTGGGTGGGGCCAGGGGCTGGTGTAACAGATGAGCGAGGTGGCGTGGCTCCCTGAGTTGACGGGAAAGTTAATATATACGTGATAGTGTCATTTTGCTGTGTTTTTTTCACGCGAGAGACAGAGAGAGTTATGGTTGTGCATGTTTGGTGGGTGAGGGATTGGAATTGAGTTGAAGTTGATGGGTTGGTGGTGGGAAGGGTACATTGTTGACTATTAATAATGAGGCTTAGGCTGGGAGGAGGGTTTAGGCAGCTGAGAGGCAGTTGAGTTTGCATTATTGGCGTTCGGATTGTTGTCTGTAAAATTGATTTGAGTGGGTGGGTTTGTTGGATTGGGTTGGGTTGGGTGTACCAATATTTGATGCACAGAAGCCGGGATGTCTAACTCCATGTGTTCATAATAATATATTCCTGTGATGTCCTCGCCGGCTGTTCTTTGTTTACTTTCAGGGCTACTGTTTTCTTTTCTGCATCCTAATTTCTGAAGTACATAATTTTCTCTTTTTAGTTTGGTGCAAAAATCACATTGTTTGGACTTCATGAAATGTTAGAGGAGCGCTTAAAGACTGACAAGGACACAAGGTTGCTTGTTAGCAGCCTATATGATAAACCTGGAGAAATGTACCATTACTCGTGCACGGTGCATAGATTTGGAAGGTGCTGAAGTGCGCTGAAACAACGTTGGAAGCAGGGCATTTCAGGGTATGCTAGCTAGGTTGTGATTGGGTAGTTTAGCTTACCCATGTTTGTAGATGCCATACTATTGATATTTTCGATTCAGATGTATGTTATTGAACCCTTTTTAACGGTCCAGCGGTGTTACCATTATCGTCCTCGATGTATGAATAGGTAATGCCGTAATGGTGCATTGTATATGTTTTATCCTTAAAAATTCTAACACTGTCTGTATTGTTATAATCTCAAGATTTTGCGCTTGCCAAATGAGCCCAATATTTCTTTGCTTTTCACCACCGTAATCGGGCCTTTATTCCGTGGGCCTGATACAATGAGCTACACTACTTGGGCTGGACTTTCGTATGATGGAAGTAGAGTCCAAGCCCGTAATCGACTGCATCCGTCCTGGTTCATCAGTACATGTAAGACACGATACAAACGAACCAATCATCATCCGCCAAACCCCAGGCCGTGTGGGGGATTTGAAGCCTGAAGAAGGACTGAAGACAGAGAGAGATAAAGCTATGGCTGGGAAGCCCCAATTCCTCCTCATCCACACACTCCTCACCTGAACAGAACTCAGTTTCGGCAGCACAGCACAGCAGCGTCCATCCGCCGAATCCCTAATTTTTCCGCCTCGCCCAATCCAAGCACCGAGAAAAACCACAATTCGCCATTTCCAAGCTCCGACATTCAGAAGCCGCAGAATCGTCGTCGTCCCAAAGGCGCGAAAGAGAGCATTGGAGATGAGTTGTTCTTGTGCAACCTCCGCCGCGGCCCCCGCCGCCGCCATCGGCCTTCTTTCTTCTCCGCGCCCAAGCGCCACTCGGTTACCTTCCTCACTCGCTCTCCCTCGTTCCTCGTCTCCTGGGCTAACAACCGCCGCCAGGTGGAGGAAGCAGCAGCATCAGCGGAGGCAGCCGGTTTGCTGCGAAGTGGCGGTCCGATCGTCGAACGATTCGGCGACGTCGTCGGAGCATAGGATCGGAGCGAAGGTGCGGGTGACGGCGCCGCTCAAGGTGTACCACGTGCCCCGCGTCCCGGAGGTGGATCTGACGGGGAAGGAAGGGGTGCTGAAGCAGTACGTAGGGTTGTGGAAGGAGAAGACCATCTCCGCCAATTTACCATACAAGGTGGAGTTTCTGCTGGACGTCGAAGGCCGTAGCTCCCCCGTCAAGTTCTCCGCCCATCTCCGCGACGACGAGTTCGAGTACCTGGATTGACTTTGAATTGCGGTTGAATCAATCAGTCAGTCGGCGAATGAATTTGGTTAAAATTGCAGATGGCAGAAGGCAACCGTCGACGACCACTGGTTTCCTGGATTGCGGCAGGCAGAATAAAGCTGTTTTCCCGCCGCTGCACCCAATTTGATTCGGCTGGTTGCAGTCCTCTTCAGGCAGGCAAACGTTACTCTCTTCCTTGCATTTTAGCCACTGTGTCTTGTTGCTGGTAGATTACTCGTATATAAGAAGATGGGAGATATAGTAGTCTTTTTCTGCTTCTTGTGAATGTATTAACAGTTTTGAGCCTTTCGGGTCTCTCTTTCCTCCCTTCCCACAAAACAGAACTGCTGCCTGCAGTGAAACGAATGATTGTTTGCCTATAAAAATGTTATCTTTACTGTAATAATGCAGACTCCATTGGGGAGCTCTTTGCTTGGTTCTTCCCCTCTACAAAAAAACAGAACTGCTGCCTGCAGTGAAACGAATGATTGTTTGCTTCTTGTGATTGCATTTTAGCCACTGTGACTTAAGCGATTACAGCGATTGAGTTCTTTCGTTGCCACAATCTCTGGTGAGACTGAATGTACATGTATTAGTAAATCAGAACTGAGAAGAGCCAGTTATGGAGGATTAAATAACTGCAATGAACTAATGATACAAGCCACCACCACCATCGTCATTTTACATCCAGACATCATTGTCTCATCTGTCCTTCGCCTACCTTTTGTCACTCTGACAAATCAACAATCATAAGAATTATGGTGCACTCTAGACCCTGCTCGCCACATTCACTCATTACCAGTACAGAATCCAGGATGACTTCGCCAAGAAAAGGATGAATAAAAATAAGAGAGAACGATTTGGGGTCTTTTTGCTACAAACTTCTACTTCCTACGTCTGGCTGCCAAACTACGCAAGGCTGCGTTTACCTTTATCCCATGCCTTTTAGTATACAATTGCCTCCTTCCCAAGAAACTAATCAGCCAAAAGCGCAGCTGCTGCAGGGCGAGGACAGCTCGGCAGTATACTTCTCTCTCTCGCTTGCTTATACATGGATCCTTTCATCTCATAACCGACTCCTTCACGAAAGACCGACCACCAGAGCTGCACCAGAAAACACAAACCCCACAGATAACGAGTCAGTGATGGTGGATGGCAAGAATAGGGTTCATGAGGTTACATCCATTGTTCTACTTTTTAGCCCATGAACGTGCGTACAATCAGTGATCTCGTCTCTCACCTGTACTCTAGGTGAATATTCATGAACCGACGGTTTTCTTTGCTTTGCGACAACGTCAATGACCCTTCTATTACTTGATCTTGCTCCACCTCCATTGGCTCGTAGAAGTATATCAAAGTCTGCAACCCCAACACACGATTAAGACAGGCAAAAGTTCCATTTTAACACTCGGCGTCAGTACCAATTCATCAGACAAGAAGTTAAACAATCGCACCCTGCCACGGCAACTTTTAAATTTTAATACATACCTGTTGCCAATGCGTTGGAGGATCCTCAGGAGCAGTAGACAGTATAAGCGTGTCACTTGGGTTCGTTCTCTTCTTCTTCACAACGCCATCCAAGGACGGAGGATTCGGTGATCCAGGTAGCAAAATTTGTGCATTTGCGTTCACGTTGGCAGGCCCATTAAATTCGACATCGAACCAAAAAGCAAACCCATGGAACGGAGCTGAGATTTTGCAAAGTACAAGAGAAAAAAACAGACAATCAAACTACTTGGAGGCTACATGCGGGTAGGCAGCCAAAGAAAAGCAAATCATATACAGATGCTGCTATCTTAGAATACCTCTCATCATAGACTTGAACTGAAACCTTGTTGTGACAGATTCTAGCTCGTAAATTTGAAGTGTATAGCAGTCCACATATTTCACCTGTTACCAGAGACAATAGACTCCCAAATTTACAAAGAGAAGTATCTAGGATTCAGACTGACTACCCAAGGCGTATCTGAAAATAACTCGAAGAGATAAAATCTTAGAACAGCAACAGAAACCCCAGGCCATCCAACAGCATTAACGAAGCAAGATAACATAAGACTGCCAATGGGTAAACAAAACAACTAGTAGAGCATCATTCTGGGTGCTAATCACAAGCATGCCTGCTTTAACAAGATTTTAGAAGGCAAGACTTACCACATGAGGCCATGTCAAGACATTCTCACCATTTATTGTCTCCACCGATGGCTCTTCGAATGCACACTGCTTAGCTAATGGCAACATGGCAGACACTGTAACCCGCAAACATAAACATATTTACCTAAGCACCCATGACAAAACAATTTCCTTCAAGTTCGAGTGTCGAGCAATTAACCAAGAGATACTCACTGTCAATTCCATACACATTGCGCCAAAAATCAATGCTTTCTGTGTATCGATCAGGATGTGTGATAGGCGCCATATATAACTGCAAGCATAATTTTTCAAATCCACCTTTGAAACATTAACAAGCTTTATGAGCAAACACACTATAGTAAGTAAATAAATACAAACAGAATCTACAGAAACTCCAGCAGGAAAACAGTGGTATCATAAACAAAAGAGTTCAAACAATCTCAGGAGCACTATCCAACACTTGAAAACATACCGTTGCATGTGATGGAAGAATCAGACCACCAGGTTTTAGCCACCGATCTCTTGCAGTAATTACACTTCCGAGCATGCTCTACAATTTAATAAAAGTAAGAACACCCCACATTGAGAACAGAACAATGGAGTGGCACAGCTTCCTCTTTTGATTCTAAGAAAGAGCAGATATCATAACACCCTGAAACATCATCCATTTGCAAATACCTCATAGAGAAGCATGTAGCCCATCCACTCTGAAACTATAACATCAACCTCCTCATCAATTTCAACATCCTGACAAAAAATTGACAAAACTATTTATGCCAGCTGATGGAAGATGGAAATAGATTGCCGAGCATAGGAATGGATATCTAGCAGTGCATTAATTTTAAATAGCTCTATGGGGCTACTTCATCAAATAGGCTGATTCCATTCCTCGTACCATGTATGTATTATATAAGTCTTAATAGGCTGCTCCCATTCCCCGTACCATATAAGTCTTAATATGAACTTGCAATTAGTAAAATATAATAGGACCTGAAAGGTTGGGAATAGCAACCAAATCGTTGGCCAATGAGCAAAAGAGCACTTAATAACCAGAACATACCTCAACTCTCCCATGCAATACAATAATTCTGTCAGATAAATTGTTTGCCCTCACAACTTCATTAGCCTGAATCAAGAAAATAAGAACTCCCTTAGAAATGATAGCTAACACCTTTTAACCAAATTTGTCATCCTAACACCGCTAGAGAAAGCTATACAAAATATAAGGTGAACAAGGTTTCTCTGACAGCATAAATATGTGACAGCTTGTTGGGTTGAAAGGAGGAGAACGGAGAAGAAAAGGCAAAATGACTGAGATGATGAAATACCTGCACAGCAATATCACTAGCATCCACAGCATATACCTGCCAAAAGAAAATACACAAACATAATGGTTAAACTTAATTCAAATTCCAACTTCAACTAGCTGCTTTTGTGCAGTTCATATTTCTTTGTTTGTCCTTCAATTGACCAGAAAATCAACACTGCTCAATGCAAGAAAGAAGCCTTGAATATATTAGCTCCAAGATGACTTACCCGCTTCGCACCAGCCTGAGCACAAAATATAGCTAGAATTCCAGTGCCACAACCAACATCCATCACAACCTGTTATATGCCCACATTGTGCATTCGGGAGATGCAAAAAAATGTTAATCCGAGAATATCCCCATTCATCCAGATACAGCATTCAGTAGTCGCCATGCTGATGCTTAAAGGAAAAAGAAACCAAACACATTCCAGATAATAAAACTTTGACATTCACCACTTACTTTGCCTTCAATATGGCGCTGATGCTGCAAGATTGCACTTCGGTAAGTATCTGTTCTTACTCTGTCCTGTAATAATAAAATAAAAAAACATAAAAAGAAGTGTAAGGAACCAGACTTCCAACGGCTGCAAGCCAATAAAATACTCCAAAGCAGCATAGACTATGAAGCAAAATGGTCGCCATTTCCATTGTTTATGCTAAACGCACAATTAGAAGGCCAAACGTTCGGAATTCATTCTGAACTGTAGACAAGACCAGGAAAGCAATTTGTGTAGCTACCTCGCCTGTTTGCACTCAGGTTCATATGCGCATAGCAGCAAAAGAATCACATATGTTGCAGTAGAGATAACAAGAACACTCACTCCAGCTCCACATTCGGACCGCATATCCAAAATTAATCAAGGCAGCTCTGAAACAAAGCTAAGAACAGAACGGGGAAAATGTAAACCTTGATCATCTCTTCATGAATGCCAACATGAGCGTAAGAATGGAAGTAGGCCTTATCGAAGTCGGTACATGGAGCGAGATTCTGCTGCTCCGCCTGCTGCGACGGTGGCTGGCTATTATCCTCGCCAGAAACCCTAAACCCATCGCCGTAATCACGCGACCTAACTCCACCGCCGCCGCCGCCGCGGGGCCCTCTTCTGACTCGTGGCCGTTGAGCCGTCGTCACAAATCGCTGCTGCTCTGGCTGCTGTTGCTGCTGGTCGTGGTAGCCGTTAGTGTGACCTGAACTTGGATACATGGCTCCACCTTGCCCCGCCGCCGCGAGAGATGTGCTTCCCCCTTCCCCGGAAACTGAACCAGAGAGAGGGTACGGCAGTCCGACTCGGGCTCACTCACTCGGCAGCGGCTTCAACCTTCGTGACCTCGCGCCGCGCGTGGAACGCAGAACTGAAAAAGGAAGAAAGGGAATTGAAAAGAGACGAAGCGACATCGTTTCCTCAGCTTTACCGGATGCTGGAGGCTTAATTCCTAAATGGTCACTAAACTATGTTCAAAGAAACAACATCATCCCTGAGTTTTAAAATGCTCCAAATTGGCTGCATATATTTCTCAACTCCTAACAAAACGATCGCTCCCCTTAATTTTGGCCGAATTTTGGTTAATTTGGTCTAGTTAACATGACTTTTTGGTGTGTGGTTAATATAATTAATCTAAACAAGCATGCCCTATAAAGCATTTGGCAACTTCTTTCTCACCTAATTTAGTAAAAAGAAAGAATATCGAAATAATTATGACATTAACGAAAATGAGTATTCACTATTCACTATATTTTATCACGATACTTGAGTAATATTTTTGTGACGTTTTAAAACGTTATTATGGTTTTACTATGAATGTGTAGGGCTGCAAATGAGCCAAGCCGCTCGCGAGCAACTCGGCGTTCGAATCGGAAAAAACTCGTTCGACACTCGACTCGTTGTTTAACAAGCCGGCTCGCGAGCTACTAACGAGCCAAGCTTGAGCTAGGCCATGCTCGACTTGATAAGCTCGTGAGCTAGCTTGACTCGGTGGCTTGTTGAGCTAAGCTCGCGAGCTGGCTTGTTTAAAGCTTGTGAAAGGATTAATTACTTTTCTGAACATGAAAATTATCTTGTTAATAAGGATGTGTATGGAAGTTAGATCATTTTTAATTTCTAATGTTCTTATTTGTACACATTTTTCAGCAAGAATGGTTTCAAATCGAGCTTATCTTGAGCCGAGCTTGTACTCAGCTTGACAAGCTGTGTTAATGAGCATTTACCGAGCTTTATCGAGCCGAGCTCGAGCTGGATTATTTTTAATCGAGTCAAGCTCGAGCTCGAGCTGGATGATGAAAATTCGAGTTCGAGCCGAGCTCGAGCTAAAAGATTTATAAACGAGCCGAGCTCAAGCTAAGCAAAAACTCGACTCGACTCGGCTCGTTTGCAGCCCTATGAATGTGACCCTACTTGACCTAAACTGAAAAACAACCAAGTATGATGTCAGTGAACCCTGCCGGAAGTAAAGGGTGATTTTTTATTTTATATCCCGTAAATAAAACCCTTTCCTCTCCAAAACCCCAAACCCCACTCTCGCCTCTATAGTCTGTACTCTTTTTCTTCAGTAGACTAGTTCGTTACCCGTCCCTCCGCCGCGCCGCTCTCCTCTCGGTGCCTCTGTCTGCGTCTCCTTTGCGAATTCAAATCCGAGCTAGCATTAGCAATGGCAGGCTTTCCACCTCCCGGTGCCACAATCCTCGGCGATGCTGCCGCTGGGAAGAAGATCGATGAAGTCGGGAAGAAGAAAGTCGATTACTTCAACCTCCCTTGCCCCATTCCCTTCGAAGAACTTCAACGCGAAGCTATCAGTATAGTTCCCAATCTTCATATGTTTACCTATCTCCCCTGCACCCCCTGGTTTTCTTTTTCCCCGTAGCTTTTTCCCGTGTGAACGTATTGGTTTATATTCACTGACTCGCCGTTTTGCCTCTCTGGATCTGTTTTCGTACTCGTAGCTCGTTAATTGTTGAGGCTTGATCCATATTTTCTAGCTTGTCAGTTGCAGCACAGCTGAATTAGTGTATTGCTTTAATGGCTGGTTGTTTCATGAGAATCAGGAATTGGATGTTGGTTCTTAGGTTTCGGGTCTCAATGCTAGAAATCCTAAAGAATCTAGCTTTTGAAACATCTGAACCCAATGGTTATGCTTGCTTGTATTAATGATACAGTTGTAGTACGGTAGTAATTCTTGTGCTGTTGGTTCTACCAGCTAACTAGTCTAGTAGAACTGATTTCTTGCATCTTTTGGCAGTGTCTTTAAAGCCTGAGCTTTTTGAAGGGATGCGTTTTGATTTCACCAAAGGGCTTAACCCCAAATTTTCGCTGAGTCACAGGTATCTTTTGCTTCTTGTATATGTCACTTCTGTTCCGGTGAACCTTTTCTTATGAATTCTGGCGATAATGATTTGTTTCCTCCATTCATCAGCGTTTTCATGGGTCCCATGGAACTTCCTTCTCAAGGGGCTGAAACCCTTAAAATTCCCACTGCTCATTATGAATTTGGTGCTAATTTTATCGACCCAAAGGTAGGTGACGGTTGCCATGTTTAGATTCCCTTGCTCTGTTGAGTAATTGAACTCCTGAAATATTATGATTGACATATGGCGTTTTCAGTTGATGCTCATTGGAAGGGTCTTGACCGACGGGAGACTAACAGCAAGGGTGAAATGCGACTTAACTGATGATCTTAGTTTAAAAGCTAATGCTCAGGTGAATTACTTGCCAATTTAACTTTTTATGTTTATAGTTTGTTGTTTCTTATGAGTGTTTTTATGTGTGGAACTTGTGCTCTTTCCTGCTTAACTGTTGCTCCTTTTTGCCATCCAGCTGTCAAATGAGCCAAATATGTCTCATGGCATGGTCAACTTTGATTACAAGGTCAGGCCTCCGTTCTTCTCTGCTTCTACTTTTAATGATTAAACTACCACATGCTCATTCGCCTGCCCAATCTGTAGTTTTTTTGGGTGACATAAGTGTTGCAATTGTGGATATCTTCTGCAAGGTGACTAGAAGGAAACATATTTGTCTATTCCTGCTTGAGGATGAACATAGTCACTAGCAACGAAGTTTTTTTTAGATAACATCTGAGAATGCATCATAGCATTCAATAAATGTTAGTTTCCGGAGGAAAAGGATAAGTACTGGCCTTTGGTTTTAGCTACACTACATACAATGAGAAATGCATTTTTCACCTCACTCTTTCTTTTGTTTGTGATACCACTTCATGCATTGCACAGTTTTTGGCTATATCAAGAACCTCTTATATGGCTTTGCCATTATATGTTATCCATGCATAGCGGTGTGGAAGCACCACACTGTTAAATCCTAATGCTGCCTCTTTTCTCTTGTGCTGGTGCTCTCTTCTCTTGCAGGGCAAAGATTACAGAACTCAACTTCAATTAGGAGATGGTTCTTTGTTTGGAGCTAGTTACATTCAGGTACTTTACCCAATTCAAGCGCTGGTTTTGTGCCAGCTATCTTACACTTCATCTATCCATGCACGTTCTGAGCCTCTTCTCTAACAGAGGCATGTTCCAAATGCAGTGGCCTCTCCTTTAACCTCTCCATTGTTTCTATACAGAGTATTACCCCACATTTATCCATGGGTGGTGAAGTATTTTGGGCAGGTCAGCATCTAAAGTCTGGTGTTGGGTATGCTGCTCGGTATGAGAACGATAAAATGGTATAGTGGCTTCCTTTTGTGTCCTTAAAAGGTTTCTAGCATGTTCCTTTTGCTTTGATGTGGGGAAATATGATCCATACCATACACTTGATTTCTTATGTTTCTGCAACCCCAGTCTTTACTTATTTGTGCTGTTTGGTTTTCAGGTTGCGACAGGGCAAGTTGCTAGCACCGGTATGGTTGCCATGAGCTACGTCCAGAAGGTCTCAGAGAAGGTAACCTAGATTTCTCAAGGGAACCAAGTGTATCGTTGTTTTGTCAATGTGTAAGACGAACCTCTTCAACTAATCATGCTGTTCCGTCGTGTAGGTTTCATTGGCAACAGATTTCATGTACAATTACCTTTCGCGAGATGTGACTGCCAGTGTTGGATACGATTACATCCTCAGACAAGTAAGCATTCTGAGAAAACCATACACAGTTATATAGATACCTTGTTTTGGTGGGGAGTAGAGCTAAGTTTTGGACTGGTGCAGGCTCGTCTGAGAGGGAAGCTAGACTCCAATGGGTGTGCTTCTGCATTCTTGGAGGAGCGGTTGAACATGGGTCTCAACTTTGTCCTATCGGCCGAGGTATGGGAGTAGTTTTCGCTCTCTCGAACCCTTTCATTTCGGTTATGGTTTTCTCCTGTAAGCTCTGAAACCTAGTTGGTACTTCTCATTTGGTGCAGATTGATCATAAGAAGAGTGACTACAAATTTGGATTCGGGCTGACAGTAGGGTAAGTAGCCCGGTTCTGTTGTATGAGTTGAGGGGGAGGACGAGTTCAAGGAAGGAGATGGAGTCACCGGCGGCCACCGGGCTTGTGTTCTGTTCCCCCCGGTCCCTTCTACGGTGGGGGAAAATGGATGAAAGGAGGGGAGCTGGAATGTTAAATTCTGTTTCTGTATTGTTTTTTTTTTCATCAATTTTTTTTTGAAAAAAATGGAGAGGTTAGGAAGCTATAAACAAGCTCCGTAGCGTTAAGTAGTGATTAAGAGTAGGATTTGCGTGAGTTAAATATTTAACTTGCGACCGACCTCCCCACATTACTCTTTCTTTGAGCAATAATTGAGTATTAGCTCATTGTCATTGTTGCTGAAAAAATCCACCTGGGGAATGTTAGTGCTGTAATTTTTGGTTTATCAAATACCGTAAAGAAGCTGTTCCTCTCTTTCTGGTCATGATTCCTTGTTATTTTCATTGGAGCAACCAAATTATCAAAAGAAATGTGTATTGGGCCGTTTCATTTTGGGCTGGGCTCTATATGTAGAATGAGTGGGCTGGGCTGTGTTGGAAATTGGAATAATCTTTTCCCATCTCCGGATTAATACGGTAGATAACCTGCAAACGACGCAATCTAGAGGGGATCGACTTCGTTCACTGTATGAAGAATCACGACCACCGCGGCGGCGGCGGAAAGGGTAGGGAAAAGGAAGAGATGGCGGCGGCCAGGAGAGAGAGTAGCAGAAGAGCGGGAACAGATGACGACGCTGCGGTGGAGGAGCTGCTTCGATCTGCTCAAGACGAGATTATGCTGAAGCTTTCCGTAGATTCTCACATCTCGAAGACTCCCAACGGCAGCGATTCCCTGCCTTCCGATCTCCGCCGTCGACTTGACGCCCTAAAATCAGTTCCTGCCTCCACATCCTCCGCCGCCCTCAAATCGGCTTCTGCTTCCTCGTCCGCCGTTGCATCCGCTGGGCAATCGCAGGACGATCTCATGGCCAGATTCGATGCTCTCAAGGTCAAAGGCAGAAGCGGCAGTGGAGCTGCTCCTGTTCTTCCTTCCCCTGATCTCACCGGAAGCGGAGGATTCTGTACCGTAGACGAAGACGACGAGGAGGATGAGGTGGAGAAGATTATTAGGTGGGCCAAGGATGCTGCCCGTCTGGATCCTTCTCCGCCGTCCGACGACGATGACGACTGCCACAGCGATGATGACGATGACGGGGATGTAACTGAATAATCATCATCTGTCTATTTCTATTTTCATTGGAATACGCTGTTTTTTTTTTTAAGTTGGTTTATTAATGGTGAAATTCCATGAAAAAAATAGTTACAAATGTGCAATTGGGTGTAAACTGTTTGGTGTTACACATTTCGTAAAAATTGATAATTTGGCTATATGGATCATGATGTCCCATTTAGTTCAGGTTATTTTCTTTCGTTAGAAGCCAGAGAGAATGCCTATAACATGATTCCAACGAAGAGTAAATTCAAACCTAAAATCTTTAGGTCCAACCTTGATCGCAATAATTTTAAGAAAAGTGGATTCAAACACAAAACCTTTCGCGTCCAACATTCGTTGTAGTTAGCACTTGGAGGTAGCAGTCGTTTGTGCTAGAAATGCGCCTAATGAAAGCATAAACCCAGTTATAAGTCAAAACCAAGTAGCAAACCATTCTTCATTCCCTTTTGAGATATAATGTAAGTAAGAACTAGTAGATACACGTGTGTGTCAAACCCCAACCCAAAAAGTGTTAACAATTTTTTCCTCCCCAAGAAACATAAATATATAGTTACGTGTATCTCAAGATTCCAGTGGGATCTCCACAACGAGCATCCCTCCATACTAAAACCCCTTCTACTCGCTCTATCCCTCTGTTCATTGATCCTCCATTCCCTGCAACAATAAACTGATGTCTGACACCAGCCGACGAGGTTCCCCACCACCATCATCTCCAATTTCTGCTCTACCCATTTCCCCCTTCTCTCCCAAGAACAACAAAAATCCAGTGTGAGCTCTATTTCTGCAACTACAATTACCGGAACTCATCGTGATCGTATTCTTCTTCTTCCTCTTCGGTGAAGATCGCACTGTAGAATACATACGGGTTCTCCAACATCTCTGCCAGTGACAGTTTCCCATCCTTATCCCCGTCAGCCTGGTGATAAGTTAAAACCAAATCATCAAATACATAACAGCTACAGCTTACAGAGCGACTAAAGAAGCAGCAACTGTTGAACAAAGAGAATCTCTGATTGCTCTGGATAGCATGTCCCTCATTAGGAGGCTGAATAAATACCTGTGATATTATATAATCTGCTTGTTGCTTGGCGTAGTAATGTTCAGATGGATGAAGTTTCTCGATGATGGGCAACAGTTCTTCATCTGACAGAAACCTGTGTTAAAATGACCAGGAGCTAATCAGCCTATGATTATGATAACGATGAAGAGTTTAGCTCATGGAATACAGAAAAAACCCATTATAATCGAGAAAAATTAAGAGAAGAAGATTTATATAGTTGTGCAAGATTACCCATCGTTGTTCTTGTCTAGCTGCGCAAACAGCACCTTAGCAGGAGCCTCCATTGAATCTTCAGATGAATGGGAGGTATTATGCGCTTCTTCGTCGTAGTTCCTTACCAGATCAAAAAGTCCATGAAAAAATTCCTTAAAATTGACTTTCCCATCCTTGTCTGTATCTCTTTCCCTGAAAAGGAAAAGGCTTTAATTAGTTGAATGAATCATGTAGGGATCACACGATCAAGAATAACGACAAAGCAAATATGGAAGGAAATACCATGAACACAACAAAAATAAGCTCAAGCACTCAGAACCCGGGAAAAATAACATGTGTAATCTTTATCCTAATATATGTAGTCATCTCTCGTTGAAACCCAAGCAATAAACCCAAAATTACATGATGAGAACAGACACTTAACAATCCAGGAAGCCTGTAAAGGCTAATCTACAGATTTCATGCATAATTGGACAATACCAGCCTATACACACATTCCTCTCTTGACACATTTGGGTTGAGGTTCTAAAGCAACATACAGTACGATAGAACAAGACGATTAACCATCAAACTTATATACGATAGGCTCATACATCATTATCCAACACATCCTCATTCCATATTTCACCACTAAACCGGTCCAATTCTAGAAGCCTCCCTTATTAACCACAACATCTTACACATCAATAGGACAATGTAAAAGTACACGGCTAAATCTAAACATCTAAGATTCTTTCCAAAATATGTATATTCAAAATATAGTTCACAAACACCAGATCTCTGGAAACAGTCAGCAATGGCCTTGGACAAATTTCTACAATCAGTAAGAACACTCTGAAAAACCCTGCTTCATAAATTGATACCAAATGGAAAGATGGATAAATCACTTTCTATAATTACATGAGACAAACTACAGGACTAAAATTCTACCATAAAAGCCACTGCAGCCCAAACTTGACTTTTAAAAGTCGACCAATCTTTATGAAAAAGTCCTAACGCTGAGGTATACATGTTTTAGGATGAGATTCGAATAACTCTTGGAAAATTTGAAAAGCATTGAAAAGTAAGTCACCTCACTTCCTCCTTGCACAGCCACTTTAGTAGCTCTGGGTTTTTACTGTCCGCTGGATGCAAGAAGCTAGAATATAGCAATAGAATAATTAGAAGCAGAATCCGAACTGAATAGGCGAAGGAAACTAAAAATGAAGAGGAAGCTTACTCATTAAACTCTGTGATGTTCAGAAGACCATCTCCATCTGCATCTGATGCATTGAAATGTTCTTCCTTCCACCAACCCATGTCATGCGCAAAAGAACTAGAATCTGGGGCAGACAAACGCATATCAGCAAGAGGCCTTACATGGCATTATGAAATATTCCACAACAAACAAGTATACCCAGAAAACCAGAGAGTGGCAAGGATTTTGATACGATCACTACAGAACTTCAGTTCTACTGCTTCAGTATGCAATAGAAAGAAACGATTTGCAGGAAGTGAGCAGAGTGGAAGCATCAGGGGATACTGTAACTGTGGAAGTTGCGATCTTTAAACTTGGGGAACACACTGAAAGAGGGGAAAGAAGGAAGAATGACCTGAACTGACAGCCCAACTAGGGGGATCATACTCTGAAAAGGAAATAAAGCCATCATGATTCTTGTCATGAACATCCATCTCTCTTTCTGTACGGTGCATGACTTCCTTCTCGGCCTGGTTTAAGTTCCAGTCCGTCAGCTCATTCTGAGTCACGAAACCATCAACAGGTGCCACGTCAATCTTGGGGAAAAGCTGCAGCAACCTGCCACGCACACCCATTTCATTCTTTACCATGGGGAATCAATTCACTTCCAATTCCAATTTTCGGCTGGCATTGTACGAATCAACCCTTACCTGCTGGTGACATTGAATTTCTCCTCATCGTTCAAGTAGTCCTCGGCTTCCACAAAATCCTCCCACTCGGGCTGTGACTCGTGGCCAGGCGCTGCCTGCGCGGAGAGGGTATCATTGGCAGCGTCGGGATGGGAATGGGTGATATAGTGATGCTCCCACCGGCGATCCTCGAGGCGGCGCTCCATCTGGGTCACGACGGGGTCAAAGGGGATTGGGTCGTGGTGGTGGTGGGGATCGTTGAAATTGAAGTTGGTCCGGAGCTTGAGCCGGCGGTGGGTAGAAGGCTTCTTCGGAGAATGGGAGAGCAGCATTAGGAATATGAGAAACAGGGATACGTAGAGGATCGCCGAAGTTTTCCCCATCGCCCGAATACGAGAAAAAACAGAGATCTAAAATTGGTAAAAACCAATTTAGTGACAAACCCAGTGCACTGAAGGCTTCAAAAGAAGCAAAAGAGCATAGAGATTGGGGAAAACCAGAGGAAGAACAGATCTGGTAATTGGCGGAGTGACAAGAGGATGAAGATGAGTAGATGACTAGGACTGAGTTGCCGGTTTCTTGTTGGTTCAAAGAGTAATAGTGCGATTAGGATTTAGGACACCGGAGACGGGATTGAATAGGAACGGGTGATGAAATTGGTTGAGATTGCAGAGGGAAGAGGAGGAGGACGAGAATGGGGAAGACGCCGGCGGTAAAGATTGGGGAAGCCGTGTCCCCCTTATTCTTCTCCGCTCCCAGCTGAAAACTAATAAAATATTAATAAGAGTGAAAAAAAAAGAAAAAATTAAAAGGCAAGAAATAATAACAGATTTACAGAGGAGGTAAATTCGGGTCAATTACCAGAACTAGTTATTAAGATAACCTACTACTACAACACGGAACTTCTAAATCTCTAGGGCTCGTTTGGAAGTTGGGAGTTTATGAATATGTTGTTTGTTAGTTGTGATTCTCATTTTTAAAGAATATAAGAATTCTCACTTTAAAGACCAAAAAGAAGGGTAATTAGCATAAATGGTAACAAACCTTTGCACTTAGTACAAAATGGTCACAAACCTTTAATTTGTAACAATACGGTAACAAAACTTTGAAATTGTATAAAATGGTCACCGCTATTTAATTTATGACCGTTTTGTTTTAAGTGCAAAGGTTTGTTACCGAATCGTTACAGATTAAATGTTGGTCATGTTTTGAGATCGGGTAGTTTGTTCGTTAAGTATATGACACTAACCACTTGAACGACATATAAGACGTCAGGTCATGTGTTCATCGACATATTTGCTTTGCCGAATAAGAATGCCCTCAGTTGACCTTTCAATTTCGATACCAAGAAAGTAAGAAAGTAGACATAGTTTTTCAACTAAAAAGAAGTCTGGAACCCGTTTGTGAGCCATTGAATTCTCTCATTGTCATCCTAAACAACATAATATCATTCACATACATTAACAAAACCACCATACAACTAGAGTGAATTGTAACGGTGATTGAGCGTTCAAACTTTTGAACTTAATTTGTACAAAACGGTCACCAAAAGTCTAATTTGCAACGACACGGTAACAAAAGTTTGAACAGGTATGAAATGGTCACACTGTTTAATTTGTGACCGTTTTGTTCTAAGTAAAAAAGTTTTGTTATCAAATGGTTACAAATTAAAGGTTTGTGACTGTTTTGTACTAAGTGCAAAGGTTTGTGACCATTTATGCTAATTACCCCAGAAAGAATTATATAACCTTGAAGTTCTCTTTATATAGTCAATTAAAGAAGGGGCAAATATGAAATATATATATATAAAAAAAAAGATAAGAGGTGCAAAAAAGCAATTACAAAAGTAAAGCAAGAGAATCTCACCTTTTTGTAGAGATTCTAAAATGAATGATTCTAGCCATTTGAGATTCTAAAGTACCAATCAAATGCATGCATTCTGGATAAGTTTATATCAAAAGAACGATAGATTGTAAAGAATACACACATTCAGATAATCACTCATTTAGACTCCTAACTTCCAAACGACCCCTAAATAAACTGCCCTAGAGTACTAATAGAATAGTATGGCAGTTGAACTCAAATTCTCGGGTACCAACACGATACAACCCAATTAAAGTGGGTAAATCTCGGTTTTGACGGATTTTGTATCAGGTGTAGTTTTCACTCGCTTTAAAATTGGTCGGTTGGTTGGATTGTATAATTTATGGATGTCATTAGTTTTTATGTCAATATAAATCTAATCACATGAATAATTTATGGATCTTATTAGCTTTCTTAGAGATATATTATATGAAAAATTCTCAATAATATTATGATTTGAGTATTTCAAGAAATCATGTATAATTCTATTTGTAAATCCATGGGTCCTCATGCATATGTGGGTAACTATTTAGTTGGGTTGGGTTTTCTTCTCTAAGAACTAGTGGGTACTTTATCGGTTTTTTAATGGATCCCACTGAGTTGGGTTTGAGTGTAGAGAAATCTGACCCAACCCGCTTCGTTGTCATCTTTAAGTACTAATCACTTGAATTCTATAGATATTGATTAATCTTTAATGAGAATAATACTAAAAAGAAAGCACCTTAAATGAAATTGGATAATCCAACAATCAACTACATTATATCATATTGGATAATCATTTATGAATCATTCATTGCATTATCCTTTTTATAATTTTAAATGATAATAGGCCAAATCTTCTAGATCATATTGGTAGTATTCATGTGATCATGTTAGTTTCGTGACGGAAACTAATTGAATCAAGTTAAACTGACCGACATTCCACCAATGTGCCAACTATGGAAAGGAGAGTGTCGGTGGACTATACAGAGAAGGAATATAGACATGTAGCGTTTGATTTATTATTTTAATATTTATGATAAAACTTTTATTTTCCGATTATACCCTTATTCCAGAAGCTACCAAAACACACCTTCCTTTGGCACTTGATCTTTATTTCTATAGAAATCATAGTCTTTCATCTTGATTTTAGTTTTTATAAAAGAAAGCGTGTCATATATTGAACAAAAGTCGTATAGCATTTGTGTATAAATTTTATAATATATAGATCAATATCGATTGTATAACATTGGTATACAATCTAACTAATCGTAGCTGACATTAAGAGTGATCGATGAGATACGATCTTAATTGCAACCGAATTCGCTCCATTTCAAGTTTGTCTTCTAAATTATGACTGAATATAAACTGATACTTTAATTCAATGCAACTCGTATAACATTTGGATTTTTTTTCAATGAGAGCGTGCCATATATTAAAATAGAAATCGTATAACAGTTGATGTATAGATTTACAATATATAGATAATGATCAATCGTATTACACCAATACATAATTTAACTAACACGAGCCAGCACTAAGAGTGATCGGCGAGATTCGGTTTTAATTGCAACCAAATTCACTAATTTCTCCGATTTGTCTTTTAAGTTATGAACAAATGTAAATCAATACTTTAAGTCAATACAACTCATATAAAAAAGGAATGATAAGAAAATGTATGAAAAAAGAATATTAGGACGTTTCTAGAGAGTACTTAGTATGTCATCCTTCAGTTTTTTTCTTCCAAAAAGTATGTCATCTATTAAAGCAAAATTCTTATAGAATTTGCTATGCATGTCAAAATCGATCGTAAATTTACAAATAGGTCAAAATCGATCGTACATGTAGCATAAGAACATAATCTCATCAGCTGGAGCCAACAATGAGAGTGATCGATAAAAATGATCGATCTTGCAATCACATCCCCTTTCTCGAGCTTATCTAATTATTATGGATCATGAATTTAAAACCCTAATGCGTTAACTCATTCGATGTTGCATCTTCAATACAGTCAAACTCAAACCACGTAAACAACACCACGTGAGAACGCAATCTATTCTTTAATATGCCCATTGATTATATATCATGACTAAAGAAACTAAGAGTGATCGATGAGATACGATCTTAATTACAACCAAACTCCCTCCTTTTCTGGTTTGTCTTCTAAGTTAGGAGCGAATCAAGACGAATTCTTTAAGTCAATGCAACTCGTATAAAAAAGGAAGGATAAGAAAAAGTATAGAAAATGAACAATCGATCGTTTATGTACAAAGAGTACTTATTCTGTTATCCTTTTACTATTTTTGTCAAAAAAGTGTGTCATCTATTAAAACAAAAAACTTACAACGTCAGCTATACATATCAAAATCAATCGCACGTGTACGGTGTACCCCTATTTCGGAAGTGCCAACACACACCTTTGTCGGCACTTGATCTCTACTCCTTCGTTGGCTCTTGCCTATTGATTATATATCATGACTAAAAAACCTAAGAGTGATCGATGAGGCACGATCTTGATTACAACCAAATTCCCTTATTTTCTGATTTGTCTTCTAAGTTATGAACGAATCAAGAGGAATTTTTTTAAGTCAATGCAACTCGTATAAAAAAAGAAAGGATAAGAAAAAGTATAGAAAAGGAACAATCGATCTTTTACATACAAATAGTACTTAGTCTGTTATCATTTAACTTTTTTCTTCAAAAAAGCGTGTCATATATTAAAGCAAAAAACTCACAACGTTAGCTATACGGATTAAAATCGATTGCACGTGTACCCCCTATTTTGAAAGTGCCAAAACACACATTCGTTGGCACCTAATCTCTACTCCTTCGTTGGCAGCTGCCCAGTAATTATATATCATGACTAAAAATAAACTAAGAGTGATCGATGAGACATGATCTTAATTACAACCAAATACCCTCCTTTTCTGGTTTGTTTTCTAATTAAGTTAGGAACGAATCAAGACGAATACTTTAAGTCAATGAAGCTCGTACAAAAAAAAAAAGGAAGGATAAGAAAATGTATAAAAAAGCAATAATCGACCGTTTACATGCAGAGAGTACTTAGTCGGTTATCCTTTAACTTTTTTCTTCAAAAAAGAGTGTCATCTATTAAAACAAAAAACTTACAACATTAGCTATACGAATCAAAATCGATCGCATGTGCCCCTATTTCGGAAGTGCCAAAACACACCTTCGTTGGCACCTGATCTCTACTCCCGCATAAAACATTTTGTTTTAAAACAAAAATCATATAGCATTTGATGTATATATTTATAATGTTATATCAAAATCGATTGTATAACATCAGTACATAATCTAACTAACACGAGCTAAGAGTGGTTGATGAAATACGGTCTCAATTGCAATCATATTTGCTCCTTTTTCCGATTTGTCTTCTAAGTTAGGAACAAAGCCGAACCAATACTTTTAAGTCAATGGAACTCGTAACCAAAAAAAAAAAAAGGAAGGATAAGAAATTGTATAGAAAAGCAATAATCGATCGTTTACAGAGTACTTAGTCTTATGTCATTCGTTTTTTTCTTTTTTCTGAAAAAGGCGTGCCGTCTATTTAAACAAAACTAATATAGCATTTGCTATACATGTCCAAAATCGATCGTTTATTAACGTAGAGGTCAAAAGCGATCGTACATGTAGCATCAGTACACAACCTCATTTAACTCGAGCCAATAATAAGAGCTAGCGATCGAAAAAAATACAACCCATCTCGCAAACCACACATTTTCTCTCGTGAAATTCTATCTCATAACTACGAACCATGAAACTAAACCTCTAATACTTCAACTCATTCGACGCATCTTCAGTACCGGCTAACTCAATCCACGCAAAAACAACACCAAGTGCGAACGCAATCTAGTCTTCAATACACCCCATAGATTACATACCATGACTCGAGAAGAAAGAAGAAAAAAAAAACCCAATTTGCTAGTAAGTAATTAATCAACCTTCCTTATATATCTATCGCACCGCGTCGAGAGGCCATACGTATGGTAACGCTAATCCGGATATTCATTCACACGTACAAGAATAAGGAGAAGAAGAAGAAGAAAAAACAAAACCGAACATTCCATTTTTCTTAAACAATGAATTTGGCAGCCTAATCATGAGGTGACGTGGATTAAAATATTCCGCGGTATTGCTTGCCAAAAATTGCTCCCCGGAATCCCATTATAAATTGCATGGCCCTGCTGTCTGGTCTGTGCACCACTTCTTCATTTCTTAATCGTCTGTTCCCCAGAAAGAAGAGATGAGGAACGCAGTCGGCGGCAGCAGCAGCAAGCTAGGCTAGCAGCTTGACCATACCAACCAATCATAGAGAAGGTTTACATCTTTCTTTCACGACTTTTCATTATGAAAATTGTTTTTTTTTAATAGTTGGTTTAATTTAATTTTTCTGACTGCAATTTGATTCATGCATGCACGCAGAGCTGTTTTTATTTATTTATTTTGCGAATACTATTCAATCCGGCGGTGCCGCCTCAACGGCCGGCCCCTGGTTTTTCCTGGGGGCTTTTCTGTTGTGTTGTTATATCATCATAATTAATATAATTAATTAATGATAAAATAATGAATTAATAATTTGGACAGTAAGAATTTAACAGCAATTTCATTCAGAAAACAAGATTGTTGATGACTTCGATTAGTCAAAACTCAAAATACATCTAACGTACCAAACTCCCACAAAATCATTCGGAGAGCAAGATGCAATGCAGTTTACCTTTGTGTATACACGTATGTACATGAAGACATGGTGCAGTAAAAGGGTAAGTAAAACCCATAATCCGAGAAATAAAAAACACAAATTACATGGTTTGCAGATTTGTTCGAAGGAGTGATAATTAAAAATAAAAAAAAGACTTAACTTGAAATGCTTCTCAAAAAATGGTCTGTTGATGTTACGGCACACTATAAACCAATTATATGATTGTGGTTTATGCCAAAATGTGAACCGTAATGATCCGGTCCGATTCTCGTAATATGAGGAGTTTTGAAAATATACGATGTCTGATAAGGGTCGTCTATTTTTTGGTAGGAATCGCTTTCCCTTCCCTTCATATTTCATATTTTAAAACCAAAATACTCGTTGGTTGATTCATGCATCATTGGCCATCTAGCCACTATAATTGTGAAAGATGAACTTTGAATATGTTGGTTGGTTGTATTATAATAGTTAGCATAGCATATCGTCACACTAATTAACTTGATTATTATTTGTACTCAGAGTGCTCACCAATTTGATTCATACTAGACCAAACCAATCCAAATTAACATTTAGATGGAAACATGAACGATTTTTCAATTTAGATCTCACAAACCTCTTCACGATTAAAAAAAAAAGCAAAACCAACTAAAGTCTTAAATAAACACACTTATAATTTGATTATGATTATGTTTTTCAAATTTCTTTATTTTTCAATCAAATTCTATTTCGATTTAATCCGACACCGTATGATTTGAAGCTGCTGCACACCCAAGCAAAACAAAAAGAAAGAAAAATTCCTTGAACCTGTCCTTTCCTTTAAATTTGCACGGGTGGAGTTACAACTTACAAAATATAGTTTTATAATCGAGATACAACGAACTTAAAAATATTTGCCTTCACAATTTTATGATTTTCTGGATAAGATTTTTATTATATAATATTTACTTCCGCGTTTGTTGTATCATCCAGAATCTTTCTTTCACATTTGGAAATTTTATCCATTTTCCTAGAAATCTATATTTCATTTCTAAAAAAACCTTTTGAAATGTTTCTAGTTTCTACTCTCCTCATTTTCCATTTTACAGCAGTGATGATAAAAGGAGAGAATTAACAACTAAACAGTCATTTTCCGCCGGTAAGGGGTTTATCTATCTGGTTGGTCTCCCTGCGCGGTCTCTTGCAAATCTGTAAATCAGAAGAGCAGGAATCGGGTCCGTAAAATCCATTGTTCTCCATTCACCTCGAGTATCGCCATCTTCCCTACTAGCTTACGGCTTACTCTCTATCCGAATCCATAATCAGAATAATAAGAAAACAAAATCAGCAGAATCCGGTTGCCTACTGGGTGCTGGAGAAAGAACTGGAGTGATTCCGTACGCAAAATCCCCTCTGGTCTGGGTTAGGGTTTATCTTTTCCCCCGCAGAATCGAATTCCGTCAAAACCCATCAATATCCCCAATTCTTCACCGCCAGAGAGGGGGCAGAGTGAGCTTTCAGTTTTCACTGTGGCCCCATAAAGGGGAAAACCCAGAAAAAAAGGTAAGTTTTTTTCCTCTCACCGGCCTTCTTCTTTCATTTCACCTTCCTTCACTTGTACTGCTTAGCTGGGTCTGGTCTGGGTTTTGCCCTTTTGTCCACTGTTTTGGTTAGTTGAAGTGTCAATTGTGTTGATGGTGCCCGCTCTTATAGAATAATAATATGTTTTTCAGATAAGGTAAAATTTCTTTTTCCCCTTGTTGAGCTCCCTTCCGTTTCCAATTGCCATTTCCATAGGGGGGAGATGAACTTCTTCAATTACCCCAAGCCAGTGATCTTCAATTTCCTTCTTTTTGGCTGGGTTCCGAGTTTTGTTCCTGTCTATGTCTATATACAATGCATGTTTGTCTGCAACCTGCCAACAGCTGGCTCTCCTAAATCTGCCCTCTGACTTGCCACTTCCTTCAATTGGGGGTTTCACCTGCAAATTTTCTGGACTGGGAATTGAATTTGTGATGCATGGATTACTCTGTCTTCCCCTGTTATTAATTACACACCATTGCTACTTCTCAAAGTTTTGGTTGTTTCCCCTTTTTGGGCATTGGGTGCTTCTGCGTTGGTAGCTTTCCTGCTGCGGTAATTTAGGGTAAAATTCGCTGTCTTTGTAAGAAGAAGACTAGTAGCACCAGAAGCAAACAAAACAAAAAAAGAGGTGGGCACTGTACGCCATGCTGTATGATTGCAAGTGGAAAACGAAACCTCCATCAAGGAAATGAAAGAGGGGGAATGGTGAATTTTTGGCGGTGGGCCTCTGCTGCTGTCAAAAATGTTGTTATCAACTATCAGAGATGGGGATTTCTTTTTTGGGTTGCCTTTTGAATTATGGATATTTATGAGATGGGTTTGTAGGCTTCTGGGTTTTTCTTCCTTCCTTTGTTTGGTTGCTTCCTTTCCATTGTCTCTTTCAAATCTCTCACCATCTCATAGAACCCTAAAATTACTATTCTCCATCAGAATCACCGTTGCATTTAATTGTTGCATATTTTTTTATCCTCTTGAATTTTTCTTCTTTTCTTTTCTTTATTCATATGCTTTGAACAATCCATTTATTGCATCTTTTGGTTTAATGGTTTTCAGATATTTCTCATGGTCTAACTTCAACTTTGCTGTTGCCTTTTGCATTCCATAATAGGTCAGCAATTCACAAGAGTCCAATTTTTTGAATTGTGGAGCAAATCACCATTGAAATTCTTCACTGCCCTTGCCCCTTGCCTCCTTTGTGTGATTTTTATTGGAGCTTATCTCCTGCTTCATCTTCCCTTGGCCTTTTCTGGGTGGGAGAGAGAGAGAGAGTTTGTTACTATCCTCTTCTTGCTTACTGCTGCAGCAGCCTGACATACACCCTCTGTTCTGCGATACAATTGTTATTCTGCCATCACTCACTCCACTTTCTTGCTGGATGCCCCAAATTTAGGAATTTTCCAGATCCAACTATTGAGAATTGTTCTAGAAAATCAAGAACCGGGGCTGTGCTAGGGTGGGTAGGTTCCAAACTGCACCGCTTCGTGAAAAAGATTTATCTTGGAGGGTTTTTGTTCTTGGAGGTTGTGAGATTCCGGAAGAGAGCTAGATGACTGTGGATGAAGTGGGTAGCAGCTCCTCCTCGTGGACTTTTGAGCAAGATAAGGCATTTGAGAATGCTGTGGCAACTTATGCAGAGGATGAAGCGGATCGATTTGAGAAGATTGCTGCAGAAGTCCCTGGGAAAACACTGGAAGAGGTTAAGCATCACTACGAGATTCTGGTCGAGGATGTTGAACAGATTGAATCTGGTTGTGTGCCTTTACCCAACTATAATTCTTCCTCTGAGGGTTCGAGCCAGGCTGGTGATGAAGGAACTGGGAAGAAAGGTGGCCCTGGAGGGCATAACAACAGTGAGTCCAGTCAAGGGAACAAGGGTTCAAGGTCAGATCAGGAACGCCGTAAGGGAATTGCTTGGACAGAAGATGAGCATAGGTATGTTTTCTGGTTCCTAATTGTTTCTCTCTCTGCTATTATGTGTCTTCTTCAGCGGATATTTTACTGAGAAGTCTGGTTCTGTTTGTTTCATTCACCCCAGTGTTCTGGAAAATTAGCTTAGACGAATTAGGTTGAGGATTATAGTTCACTATGTTGTATAATAGCTATGAACTGTTGTGGATATGTTAGCTCGAGAATTTGTATTTGCTGAGTAATTAGCCTGTGATAGCATATTGATGAAGAAATAGGACTACTGAGGCGATGAAGGCTATATACTCTTTGGTCTTGATTTACAGTCTACTGAAAGTTTGTCATTTGTCTAGGATTAGGAGTTTCTAAACCCTTGTGATGGTACAAGAAAAACGTGCAGATTTCTGTCTGCATTTTACCATATACAGCATCAATTTGGTGGAGGAGCCTTGCATTATACAGGATTTTGTAGAAATTAAAATGTCATTCCTTGTAGATAAGCCATCAGAATGATGAAAGTAGGATTCTTTGCTGTACCATATGCTGCATTGTTGGAACAAAACCTTATAATGGTTTTCTTTAACAATCTCAAACCCAAGTTATTAGGTCTCGTGCTTTTTACATCTATCATGACTGATGAAGGGCTTCTCTCTTGTTTGAAAGGAGCTCATCTGTTCCTTTCACTTCTTCCAAAATATCCAGAAAGGGTGAGAATCACATGTTATGTTGACACTTGCCATTGTGTTGTAGTTTTAGATTTCTTCTTGTTTATGGGGATGTGTATTCAGTTTCTGGCACTTCCACCCTACTAGTACAAAGTTTCATGAGTTGGTCAGCTGGAATTTGTACTTCCCATGTAAGAATTTGTAGTATTGGAGCTTAGGCATAGTCAACCCCATCAGAAATTGTGCTAAAATCATGACAGCATTGTCTAGATAAAGGAGCATGCTCTACGCCAGTGAAGATTTTTACTTAACAAAGCAGCTGGGGCATCTGTTTGTTACTGAACATCTGTCTCTCTTATGACCACAGGTTATTCCTTCTCGGGTTGGAAAAATATGGGAAAGGAGACTGGAGAAGCATATCCCGGAACTACGTGGTAACAAGGACGCCTACCCAAGTGGCCAGCCATGCTCAGAAGTACTTCATCCGGCTAAACTCGATAAACAAGGACCGAAGGCGTTCGAGCATTCATGACATCACGAGCGTGAACAATGGCGAGATTGCAGCAGCCCAAGGACCGATAACCGGGCAAGCAAACGGCAATCCTGCTGGTGGCAGCGGCGGAGTAGGGCCTTCAGGGAAAGCTGGTAAACAACCGTCTCAGCATCACCCTGGTGGGGGGCCTCCAGGGGTAGGGATCTATGGTCCTCCAACAATAGGACAGCCCATCGGAGGGCCATTGGTATCGGCAGTTGGGACACCCGTGAATTTACCTGCGCCAGCACACATGGCATATGGAGTTAGAGCGCCGGTGCCTGGGACGGTGGTCCCTGGGGCACCGATGAACATGGGTGGGATGGCTTATCCGATGCCGCCGACGAGTGCTCATAGGTGATGTACAATACAAACACAGAGCGAGGATGTTAGCACAGATGAGTTTATTATGGTTTTCATTAAGTTAGATGGAAGGGAAGTTGTCCATTGTAGGGGTTGAATAAGAACTCTTATCTTATAGTGGAAGCAAGCAGAATGCTGTGATTTTACTCAGTTTCGTTTAATTCGTCGATGGTAGGGGGGGATTATGCTTCATGCAAACAGGTGTGGAGCTGCAGCAGCTTTTAGAAGGCGATGATGCTGATAAATTCTGGGAAGCTGGTTAGGGAGAGAGGGCAGCAGTGGTAGCAAGCAATTGTGTTGTGGTTTTATTTTTGTTCTTGGTTTTTCTTTTTCTTTCCCAATCCTTGCTTTGGGGTAAACTTATAGTTAGTGGGTATCAGACAGAGACAGACCAACCATTTTAGAAGCAGCAGGTGCAGGAGTAGTGAAATAGATCTGTCTGTATTATTCCTTGGGATGGAAAGAAGGGAGTTGTAAAGAAGCCATTTTTAGTATTCTGAGCAGCATAGGCTGGTGGCAGTGGCTGGCAGGCACATATTATGCATTTATATTACTACAACTCTTCTAGCCCTTGATCAATCAAATCATTTCCCTTATACTTCATTTGCCCTCTTTATTTAGTAGTCTTTGCCTTGTTCTAAACGATTTTTGAAGCCATTATCCTTCAATTTTGATAGCATGAATTTGAGGAAGGGAGTAACATTTGAGCATTATGTTGTAACGTCAATAGATTTTATTGATTTTATTTCATCATAGCGGCTACATTGGATGGATTGGGTATAGAATTTCATCAGTATTGCCACCTATAATGGTCAGGAATCACCCGCTGCTGCTGTTGACCTTTACCAGCAGCAAACGGCCCTGTCTCCAGAATCCACCCTTCTATCATCGCCTGAGCATTCACCGGCTGATCCGTCGGAACAAGGTGTCCAGCTCCCAGAACCACCGCGTGGGTCAGTCTCCCTGTCTCCGACCGCTGAACATACCCAGCAAGCAACCCATCCACTCTCCAAACTTCCCTCCTCGCCGCCAGAAACTCCGACAACCCTCCCCATCGCCGGATCGTCTTCATCCACGCCTCCACCGACACCACCCCGTCCCTCAGGTCGTGCTGCCCTTGGTACAGCAACACCCTTAGCGGCTGCGGCGACAGCAGCAGCTCCTCCACCATACCTTTCGTGCTCTTCATCACGTCCTCGTGAAGCGCCGCCGCCGCCGCCTTGCCGCACTCCTCGAACACGATCGAGGTGTTGGCGTTCAGCGCGGCTTTGACTTCCGGCGACGCCAGCAGCGCCACCACCAGCTCCGTCTTGTAGGGTTCCGTCTTGGTGAAATCGTACAGAGTCGCGAGACCCGTCATGTTCTGCAGCATGTTCAATACTCTGTTTCTAGCTTCGGTGGCTTCCTTCCACTTCTCCATCCCAACGAATCGAACCGCCTCCGACTGGGCTCGCTCCATTTCTTCCCTCTGGAGGTCGTTGATTAGGCCGGAGAAGTAGGCGTTTAGGGCATGGGTCTGGACTTGGGTCACCGGGTCGGTCAACCCGTCTCCTATCGCAACCCCCTTTAGGTTCAATCTCGATTCTGAATCTGAGCCTCCCGCCGCCGGTAAATTGGCGTTGTGGCGGACGATGTAGGACCCAATTGCCGGGACGTACTTACCTGCGTAGCTTTCGCCGGTGATGTAAAGCGGGCGGGTCTTGGAATCCGGACCCAACCCGCGGAGGAAGGCGGAGATGGCGGAGAATAGGTGCGACGCGACGGCGTTTTGGTCCCTGGGGATGTCGAGAGGAGAAGCTGCGGTGCTGAATCCGGTGCCGATTGGGTTGTCGAGGAAGACGAGGCCGAAGATTCGATTCCAGCTACCCGGGTTCTTAGTAAGGCCGAGTTCAGGCGTGACGAGGTAAGGACCCAGCTCGAAGAAGTTGCCGATCATGGAGGAGCAACCGGGCCCGCCTTGTAGCCAGAAGACGAGCGGGGTGGTGGAGAGTGAGGGGGAAGACGGTTGCTGGGCTTCGTAGAAAGTGTAGAAGATGGCGGAGCCGGGTTTTGCCGGGTCGACGGGGAGATATCCGGACTTGGTGGGGAGAGCTTCTTTGGGGAAGGTTACCGAGGAGGAAGGAAAACAGGGGAGATTGCAGAGCAAGAAAAGGCAGAGGACGGTGATGATGTTGTTGGAGAAAGATGGGGAGTCCATAGCTGAGCTTTCCCCAGAGAAGGGTTTGGTGGGTTCCCTTTTGATGACTGTTCTGATGTAAGCTGCTGCTGCAGCTGTTGTTGTTGCCTGTTGGTTCCTCCGTCGTCTGTGATGCTTAGTTATATTGAAAACAGAGCATGCGGCGACAAAAGAGAGGAAGGATTCTTAAAACGAAGGTGGGAGGGGTGACGACAAAAGGCTGAGGTGGAAGAAGGAGATATGCAGATTCGAGTGTAGTGATTCTAAGTTGCAACTGCTTCTTCCTTGCCTCGTCTCGCCTCCTACAATTTCCTGGTAAATTAAGGAAGATTAAGGTCTAGTGGAGGTCGGAAAGAGTTTGCAAATGTCCCCGGTTTTGTTCAGTTTACTCCCCGCAAGTCCGGTACCGCCAATTGCTTCTTTCTGACCTGCCATTCCCCGGTAAATTAAGGGAGGAGGAAGGTTAAGGGAGATCGGAATTCGGAGGTAGTTAATCCACTCGCTTCAGCTGTTCCGCATAAGGCAAAGCAGAGTCCAAGACCCCATTCTGATTCGCCTTTGGCTTTGATTTCTTCTCCCCCAACCAACCGTGAAAAAGGTTGCCAACGACGCAAACCAGAAAAGCCAAACCCCAACAACAACAACCCTTTCTCCTTCCCATATGCCATCCACCAGCGGCAGGTTACTCTGCATGAGGAATGGCGGCAGCAGCTGCTGATGTGGAAACTTATTAGCCCTCCTTTTCAATTTGCTTTGCTTTTTATCGCACTTTCCTTTCCCGTTAAGCCAACGCCTCCGATTGCCCTTTTCCCTCGCTTTTAACTCGGCTTCCTCTGTCACCTCGGTCATCATCCATGGCCTACAGGTCTCTGAAATCAAGCAAAAAGAGTAAAATAAGAAGACTACGCCTTTTGATTTGGGGATTCCTATGTCTGCTTGCTGGGTTCCAGTCAGTCAAACCTCATCTCGTCTCATCTTCATCTTATAATGCAACCCCTTTTTTGCCTCTCGCAACTCATGACATGACAGTACATTGCTCTCTTTTGACATTCCAAAGACCTCTGCTCTTCCTGCCGACTTCCGCTACTGCACTATGGAAATACAGAGTAGGTTCAAAGACTGAAATACAGAGTAGTAACCAAAAGGTCATCATTCTGTCTGGACCAGCCACTTAAACACAGTAGGAAAGCAGATTGGGTTGCTTCGATCGATCAACTCTCTGCAAGTAGGTCGTTTCTTTCTGGGTTCGCGCGAATTCACGACTCGATTTCAGTGCGACAAATACAGGAAGGAGATCTTAGCACACAAACTGCCAACTTAATTGAAACAATCCCAATGCTCTGCCGTCAAGGCCGTGTTGCATGATCATGCATATGCAATCTAGGTAGGTTCATTTTTTATTTGTTATCTTGAGTAGCTTTTTCCTCTCTTGATGGGGTATTGTTTGCATCAGAAAGTAAAGTTGCCAGCTCTAACCCCAAAGCCAAGAAAGAAAGAAAGAAAGGAAGAAGAAAAAGAAACCATAGAGCATCGATCCCATTCCACCCCCACCACCTGGGACTTTCCAGTCCCTTCTTTTTCTTTTGTGTCCACCACCTTTGGCTTACTTACCTTTGGATGATGGTCTTGTACTTTTAACTGTTTCATTCTCTCCGTAGTAGCGAGCGATCCACGACGTTCAACACGTGTTGACGTTATTTGACTACTTCTGAATGTTTTTAGTAGTCAAATCGAAAGTGTTGGTATTGCTTCACGAAACCGCTATCACTTAACGATTCAATAATATCAGTACTTATTGAATGTTTGCCAGCATAATAGTGCAATCTGCAGTGGTACATTTCCAGTAGGCAGTAAATGATGTTGGAGTGTAGGAAGAAGGCTCCAAAAAGTACCAGCATCTTATCATTTGAGCTCCACCCAATTTCCTTATCTCAACATTTTACAGTTTGCAGCAACATAGAAAAGCCTACTTTATGCCCTTTTCTAACAGTAAACAGGACCTCCTCATGGCATCACCTTTTGCTTAAAGAGACCAAACCGTGTGAGGCAGATCATCAGCATCATTCTCCTTTTAATTTCCATCCTTCTTTTGATCCCATGCTGCCATGCATGATGCAGACTTCTCTACTATTCTGCCTTTATTCCCACTGTTGCTGAGCTATACATGATTCAACTCCACTACTTGTGTCTTACTTAACCTCTTGGACCTCCTCCATTCACATTGTAACATGGGATGTATATATAGCCATCTCCTTTGAATTTCATCTGCAGCAGTGCTCCCCAACTCAATCAAACCATATAGCTAGCCACTGCATTTGTAATCCCCAAGCAAGATGAAGAACCCATTTCAGCTCGGTGTTGGAATTCGTGTCAGCTCGCTTTCGCACATTGTCAAGAAGCCACATTCTGCAGCAGGATACTTACCTGCAACAGCCGATCAGGCACAATTCCCCAATAACAGACCTTGTACTGCCATGGATTCTCAGCCTTTGAAGCAAGGGCATGGCAGAAGGAGAGAAGGGATGCTCACAAGGATCAACAGTTTGGGAAAGAAAGCTGACACCTTTGCCAACAGTGTTAAGGAGCATGGTAAGATACCCATAAAGATTAAAGAACCACAAAAGATATTGAATTGGATTGAGCTTTCATTACCTGAAGTTCAAAGCATTGATTTTGATAAATTTGCAGTGAGATTGGGACCCAAGATCAGTGAGACAGTGAAAGGGAAGTTGAGCTTGGGGGCTAAGATTCTTCAAGGTGGAGGAGTGGAGAGAATTTTCAGGCAGTTGTTCAGTGTTGATGTGGATGAGAAGTTGTTGAAGGCATCACAATGCTACCTTTCTACCACAGCTGGTCCAATTGCAGGCCTTTTGTTCATCTCGAGCTGCAAGCTCGCCTTCTGCAGCGAGAGATCAATCAAGTTCTCGTCACCAAATGGGGAATCGATCAGAGTACGATACAAGGTATATAGCTATACTTGAATTGTTTACATCATAACCTGACTATAAACCATCTGCTTATTCCATTCTTGATTGCTAAAAAGTGTCTTACCTATTTTACTATGATTATGCTGCTGCAGGTGTTGATCCCACTTAGCAAGATTGAAAGAATCAGAGAGAGTGAGAATGCAAAGAGACCTTCTCAGAAGTATGTGGAAGTGGTGACTGTGGACAATTTTGATTTCTGGTTCATGGGGTTCCTGAATCATCAGAAAGCTCTCAAACACCTTGAACAGGCCATCTCGATGAACCAGCGATTCGGATACTAGTTACAGTAAGCTAGGTGGAGAGTGATTAATGTGAATATGAAGGAAGAAAGAAAGGAGAAGTAATCAACATTTATTGTAGGAAATTATTGTGTAGCTATTTTCATTATCGATCCTCTCGAACTCAATGGAAAATCTTGGAAGAGTTATCTGATCCCCACT